CCCCCCCCCAACTATGCTTACGTAATACTTGAATGCTCCATACGGATAGATAGTCTTGCGAATAACTCATTTGAGCTTGTTAGAATCAATCATCAAGATTGTAAGAATATTCGTAAGGAGTTGTTCAAGTATTACGTAGGCAAATTTTTGCACAATTTTGACCTCTCCCCCCCTCCACTATGTCAGCATATTCCCTATATTGATAATCCATACTATCAGGAATCCTGGACTCCCTCTCCCCTCAACTGTGCTTACATAATACTTGAATGTCCTCTGACTAAATAAATTTACACAATCTTAATCGTTATTGTCCAGAACTATCGAAAATTATTCATTCTTGTCGCACTGACAGAAAAAATTAGTTCTGTCGAAAAAATATATGTTCCACGAGGGAATATTTGATGGAGTGGAATAGATTTACTTGAGGGAAATCAACTTGATAGAAGATTTAATATCTTTCGTTATATAATTGTCGTGATCATGAAGCCATCATAAAATTTATGGAAGCCATCATATCTCCATTTAGGTGAATCTTTTATTTTAGATCCTACCACGAAATTCGGATTTCTCTTAACGGTATTTGGCCTCTTCACCCTACACTACTCAATAACATTCCCTTGATAAAACAGGAGCCAGTTATAATTCCCTGTAGAACAAATGCATTTACCCAAAAGACAGGAATGTCTCACGAGAACAATTACTATTACGAAAATTATCACGTTTTGCTGGAAACTTTCTTCTTTGACCACAAGTAAATTGATTCAACACGCCAAAAGATCTCTTCAGGGAAATATAATTTTCGGCAGACGTAATTTTTTCTTTCAGTGCAAAAGAATGGCCCGATTTGCCTCCTTTTTAGAGGGAGGTTTGTGGCAAGAATTCTTTTGCTCCCAGAAAATCTTTTTTCACACCCCTGCACGGAAATACTTTCATACTTTCCTCCCGCCCATCAAAGAGCAAAATACGAACTTTCCTTTGCAGGAAAGTGTCAAGACTTTCCGCCCTTGATGCACAATATACTATTTTGACGTGGATATGTCTATGTTTTCTTTATGGGAGGGCATTTAGAGAAAAAGTCCTTATGGTTCCTTATCCGTCATGGCGCCATCTATCGGAATTCTACAAAATTTTAGATTTTTCTCGAAAATAATGGATTTTTCTAGAAAATTCTCCAGTTAAAAAGGAATAAATTGCAATTTTGAGGGATCCTTAGCGCTGGTGGCCAAAATATCGACAGTTAGTTACTATTGCACGAAGTAGATAAAATTTGTGGATCCATGTTAAAATTCGCAAAAGTGTTTGTATGTGACGATTTTGTTGTGAAGGAAATATGTTGAATTAAACGTTTGTTTAGAGATTTCGGTTGTACATAAACATTCACTCGTGTCGTGATTATAAAAAAAATGTCCCATCAAGACGAGACGTTGCGGAATCCCGAATTCTCCTAATATACCTATATAAATCAGTAGCGAAGTGGTAAAACGGTTTAAGTCGACTTATCTCCCAGTTGAGTTTTTGACGAATATTTCCGAATCTAAGGGAGATAGCGAAATTTTCATAATTACATTCAGTGTAGATCTCAATCGGCTCTACAAAAAGACTTATAAGGAAAATTTTGTCATCTCCCGTAGATTTCGAGATATTCATTGAAAACTGGCCAATAGTCAAAATTGACTCGAACCGCTTTATCTCTTCGCTACCGAAATATATACAATTAAAAAATGTGATGTTCAGCGACGGAAAGCGAGGACCATAGACGTATCCACGTAAAATGATGGCTATATCAAAGATACAGCCACCGGCAGATTTTTTCTCTCATTGTATTTCTTTCGAGTTCCTTAAACTATAAATTGACTGATCAATCATTCTGTCTTCGACAATCAGCTCGGCGGACAAAGGTATGTGATGCGTGAGGGTCGTCCTTACTGTCTCCACTGTTTCGACGCCTCATTCGCTGAGTACTGTGACAGCTGCGGTGAACCCATTGGCGTTGATCAGGGTCAGATGTCTCACGAGGGTCAGCACTGGCACGCTACTGAGGCTTGCTTCGCTTGTGCCACCTGCCGTACATCGTTATTGGGGAGACCTTTCTTGCCACGAAGAGGAGCGATATATTGCAGCATCGCCTGCAGCAAAGGCGAACCGCCCACAACACCCAGTGACTCGTCCGCTGGACCTCCACCACCGCCTCCCGCCTTTCCGAGGTAAATTGACCGGACTTCCTTAGGAGTTCTTGGCAGGGATTAAAGTTCGTCACGGGTTTGGAACACGCTATTGAAACGTGACGGGGAAAGGAAAAATGGGATGATGGGTAATTAGGGGGAGGGAATGAGGAAATGGGTAGGAGGAGATGAAGGAAGAATCAACAAAGGTTTCGAGGAGAATCTTAAAATAATTGTAGATGTTGCGGTTCTTCATTCCTCCATTCTTTTTTCTTGTTTTTTTTGTTTTAATTCTTGATTCGGAAGACTTTCTGAACGCTTGAGGACTTATTTAAAAAAAAATTGATTTGTACTATTATATTTGTCCAAATACATTGTGCTACGTGACGCCTTTACACAGCTTACAAGATTTTTTGATTCAAGAGTAATTTTTTCACGGACACCCATCCGATTAGGGATCGCGCTGCGCCGCAATCCCTAATCTAATGCAGTTTATTGTTTTCTGCACATTTCCCATGACCTTACTTCCATGATACAATCTATGGAGATGAATAACATTTTCATTAATTATTAATTAATCTTGAAAAATCCTTATATTGCTTTCGGATGGAGGTTTTGTTATCGCTCACATTTAAGTTTCCTATTTTTTGTGTTGAAGTAACTAAATATTGTCTAAAAAGTCCGAATGTGCGGTTTTTAGATGGTGTATGTACGTATGTATGTATGTGGGCTTTTTTTCTTTTTGTTTTCTCGTAATTTTCCTATAGGATCACTCGAATTTGATGAATTTTTTCACGAATATTGACTTTAATAAGCTATTCATTGACATCAATTAAAATGGAATTTTTAATACAGATTCGAAAAATTTGCTATTTTTCCAAAAGTCGACTTTTCATCTATCACTCAAAAAATTGATAACAATACCCTCTTGATTCTATCAAGATAGGATGGGAGTCGTACAATTCGTTGAGTTACAGTATATTGTTCATGCGATTTGGGCGAGAAAATCGGTTTTATCATCATCACTGAAAGAATCATTAATAACAGTAATTAAATCAGGGCTTGAAAAGTATATTTCAATGCTTTCTCAGTCATATTAAAAAATGGTGAGAATACCATCATTGCTTCTCACCTTACTCAATACCGTCATGAACTTTTTATATAAAAATCTCTATCTCTATTAAACTCAGGTACGAGTCTATTATGTTGAATACTTATTCATATTGATTCTTGGTCCCGACTAACTTCTGACAGAACCTGGGTTAAACTCTGGCGAAATTCTGAATAAACCCTGATTAAACCCCGGCTATACACTGATTAAACCTTCATTGAACCTTGATTGAACCCGGACTGAAAGCGAATACGAGTCTTAAGAGAGTCTGAAGGAAGAATTATTTGACAGAACGAAATAATACGCAAAATTTTGATGGCATTTCAATTGATGTTAGTACTCTGACATGAAAAAATAGAAGAAGAGAATAGTAAAATAAGAATTGAAGTATAAAGAGCATCCATTCGGAAGCAAATTACTAATTTATTAGTAACAATTACTATACTCATTTATTTACCAAATGCCATTGTCTGCTCATTTTTATTTACTATTAATTTACGTTTTGTTTCTTCGTTATTCAATTTTTCCGTGCTTCAACAACTGATTCAGTCTTAGCCTTTGCTCTATCGAATAACTCTGATAATCGATGTTATTCATGATTAGACAAGCACGGAAGGCTCCGCCGACAAGCGAGGGTTCGTCAAGCCCCCCACCCCCGCCCTCCACAAGGCATCACACCCTCCACGCACCAGGATCGGCGAGGAACTCCCCAAGACTGACACGGAAGCACTATCAAGCTTCAGTTTCTCTGGCAACAACCCCGACTCAAGTGAACGTTGGAGATTTCGGAAGCGAGGGTCTCCCATCGGCTGGGTCACGACCTGGTGGTCTAGACCGAGTTATACTTGAAAGAAATCTCGAGAGATTGCTGCAGGAACGCACTCCCCACCCCGAAGAAGCACCTTCGGAGTTTGGAAGGTAAAGTGGCAAAGATTAAAGCTTTGAAGTGCTCCCGTATTTTTTACAAGTCCAGAAATCCATTAGAGCACTTTCTCTGCACAACCAAATGACTTTGCATTTATTTTTAATAACATTTTTTTTTCACGTCTTGGGCCCTGCGGGCTTTCCAATAACCTGAACAATTTAAAAAAACGCCTCTCTCAAAGCGAACACGAATGCGCTCTATTTATATTTACGGTATGCTTTTACGTTAGGGGATGAAATTCTTGCGAAAAAAAATGGACAATCTGCAAGACCCGATCAATTAATAACCAACTACCTACAATCTCTTCCTGTGACATCAAATGACTAGCACTGCTTTGTATAACTTTCAGTTTCATGAGTTCATTATAGCGGTGTATGAGTCTATGCACATTGTTCACTATTCAAGTTTTTTTTCTTTCTTTACAAAATGTATTCTGGCAACCCCCACTGTTATAGGGAGGACCACTCTGTAAAACAGTGTACAATAAATAATTTTAAAAAAAATTTTTAAACGCTATTATGAACTGCAGCTATTTGAGCTATCTGGATTCTCTTTTCTCAGTGTATCAATAACCGGAAAAACATTTATTCATAGTAAATTATTCATTGTATGTCGAACAGGTCACTGAGGAAAATTTACGGCTCATATGAGATAATTGTTTATTTATTATTCATTTGGAAGGAATTGAAAGATTCATTCATGTTTTTGTGATTAATAGTTTGCTTTAATCGTACTGCTGTATTATCTATCAAACGTGATCTTGGTTGTTTTTTTTATTTTGATAATCTGAAATGTTCAATTGCCATTCAGTTTTACCTAACCCTGGAGTCTTCAAAAATTATGATTGTATAATTAAACAAAGGTGAAAAAAAACAGAATATTTTCAAAGAGCGTTTTTGAATAATGTTGGGAAATAAACCCAATAGGGAGGAAATTGCAAATTAATAATTTACAGTGTCTAATGGCTATTCAGCCGTCATTTGCCTCAGTAGCCAATGCCTGTCAGATCGTTAGTTGCCATGATAAATTATTCATTTACAATTTCCTCTCTGTCGGACTTATTTCCTAATCTTTATTAAAAATGCTCTTTGAAACTGTTCAGTTTTTTTCTACGTTTTTTAACTCGCCCTGAAATAGACTATTTCGTCATATCTGAACCGAAAGTTCGGTTTTCCTCCCCAAATGAGGGGAGGGAAGTGGCTTGGGAGAAAACAAATGCAGAGCTATTAATGAATTTCCAACGGAAATTTCCCCGTAAATCTTCATTTGCAAAAATTTTCGAAATAGAACAGTGTGACGGCCTTGAATACTGCACTGCAAGTGGCTGACGTCCGAGAAAAATAAATAATCATTTGAATTTCCATAAAGAACGATGCTCAATAAGAAAAAGTTATGATTTTCCAAATTATTTTTCTCTTCATAATAAAACTTTTTTCCTCCGAAAATACATTGTTATATGAATTGATGAATTATTCCATCCATTTGAATTGTTTAACACTGGATTTGCGAAAGCCACCTTTCGCAAATAATCGATGAATTAACCATGACTTAATTTCTTTGCAGGCTGTTGCAGGCACGAGATAGAGAGCCCCTACGTTGTGTCCCCAATTGTCCACCGACCCATGCCTCAAGTATGCCAGAGTTACCACCTCCTGCCCATTTAGCCGGTCATTCCACAACTCTACCGCCTCAAACCTCAAACGTAACTGATGTGCCAACGGACACAACAGATCTCTGCGGCAATCCGACCATGATAGACCCTCCAACACCCACATCGAGACGGGTGAGATTTCAGGGTGATGATCACCATGGAATTTCCGCCTCTGCTGCCCCATTGCCTGGAAGTCCTGGGACACCTCCTTCACCCTCAAGATCTCAAGTACCGAGATCCAGAAGTTTACAGCCTGATGAAGTTGCTAGCACATCTTGGGGTACGTTAAAACATCTCTAAATTTGTGAAAAATTGGAGTGATATTTTTTGCCCCCAGAGAACGAATGAAAATGAATTATTTAAACTTTCTTATCATTCATGTAATTCATGTAGTGAAAATTGAGAAATAGAATTGAAAGAGCAGAATCCATTACAAATTGAATCCACAATTGATTTATTCATTGATTCATTTGCATCACAATACTGAGAGCAAAAATTGACTCTGATTTCACGATTCCAAAAATTGACAAGAGAATATTTTCTTGTATCAAAGAAATCATCTTCGTCAAAAGTAATTTTTTTTCTCAGCAGACGATTCGTTATAATCCAGTTTTATTTTGGATTCAGAAATGTAACGATAATATTTTAGTTCTGTGCTCACACTGAGAGAAAGAAGTCTTAATAGGATGAGATTCTCTTGTGCCGAGAGAATTTTTAAGTGTTAGCGTAAGTCTTCCTATAAATTCATTGCAACAAGAAATATTTTACCCGGCCGTCAATGCCCCCCAAATTTTCAAATAGTCAAAAGTAACCCAGTTGACATGAATAAAAGTCGAAATTTATTTATTTATTTTATTTATTGTTTATTCAAGTCAAACAGCCGAGGCCAATTACAAGACTTATTAAGTGATATGGAAATATAACGCTAGCGAATTACATATTCACATTAGAAAATTAAAGATACGATATAATACAGAGAAAGAAAATGTTTATAATTGTGTTTATGAGTGGAATGAAATAAAAACTAGATAACACTTATATTCGATCATCAATAATGAGCCCTAGCAGTCTCAAATGCCATTCTAGTAATTGAGGTCAGTGAATCATTGAAGATATCAACGTCAGGATAACGTTCGAAATTAAATTTTAAATATATGCCTAAACCGTACTACTGATTCTTCTAATCACGCAGTCGTCGAGATATTGATAGTTTGTTGATAAAACTAGCAGGCGCCCCACATTTAACATCATTTCTTTATTCCTTGTCGTCAAACTTGCGTTCCATGAGCCTTGACAACCATCAGACCCGACTTTTCTCTTCTTTTCTATAACATTTTTTCGATTATTCATGGTTTCAGTAAATTAAATTTATTTATTCATCGTCGAAAGAATTCTATCTCATTATGTAGTTTGCGTTATATCTAGAATTCAATGGATTGTGAGAATTTATACTTTCTCGATCTGATCACTCATCATCTCCAGTTGAGGAATTCCTGTTTCGATTGCACGACGAACACTTTCATTATCAATTCAAGTGGTAGAAAATTGATCTCAAATGTTGCCCTCTTTGTGCAAGATTTTATGTAATCCAAGTCCTGATGAAAAAAATTCTAGACACAACGCAAACTACATGAATTTATCGGAAGGAGATCCCTTCTAGTTTTAACCGTAGTCTAGTCACCAACTGTGACCCTGCGACTTTGGTCACCTCCGCGGGGATTCCCCGCCGTGTTATTTAGGCTCTAGCGTTGCCGAATTCACTCTACACTGCCCGGGCGCGTTTAGCGAATTCCCGGCAACATCACGTCACGAGCAATTTCATTTAACATGGGAAAAAATAATTCATCTGTCCGAAATAATTTGTTTTCTTTAGGAATTTTGGGAAATATGTTATTCTAAAAACTACTATAATTTTTTACACACTTCAATTGACAAAGTCAATTTTTATTTATTTTTTCTTTTTAAAGAAAAACGACACGCGGCGGGGTTTCCCTCATAGGGTGACCAATAAAATGACCAATTAAGGGTTAAGAACGCTTAAAAATCCTCTCGGGACTAGAGAATCTCATCCTGTTTTAGGAAACGCCATCAACCATTGAATTCTTCATTACACGGATTTGGGCCTTACATTGAAAAAATAAAAAAATAATCAGATAATTCACAATGTGGGGAATTAAATGTTGATAAATAGTGATAATATGGAATTAAATAAGATAATAGGAGAATACAAAGAGAATTAGAAAGTTTCAGGCAAACTGTGTAAAAACTTTGTACAGGGAATGGGAGCCCAAAAAGTCTGTAAAAGGAATAAAGAATACATAGATACAAAGAGAATTAGAATTTAGAGAGAAAGAAATCCCGCACCGCCGATCCGGGATTTGAACCCAGGTCTCCCAATTACGCGCCGGGTACTCTCCCAACTAAGCTACCGGAAACTACGGAAATTCTCTCTCTAAATTCGCCTCAGAACACCGCCTAACCACCTTTAAGCATTAAATATTACTAAAAAAAATGGCCATACTCCACGGACAATTTACTCAATTGTCCATTGGGTAAATAATACTAAAATTCCTAAAAAACGATTTTTGATTCACCAAATAATCGTCAGTCTTCCTAACTAATTTATTGATTTGTACTTTAATTGATGATTAATTTAATAATTAAAAATTGTAGAGTAACATCAACCAATTGACCAATTGAAAATTAAACGCTAATTCCAATCTATGATTATGGCTATCTCTGTCCTGTTGGAAACCTTTTTTCTCTCAGTCTGAGAACAAAATTATTTATCAGGAGATTTCACGATTTTTAAAATTGACAAGACAATATTTTCTTGTATCAGGGAAACCATTTTTGTCAAAAGTACTTTTTTCTCTCAGCGTGGGAATCACGAGTAAAACGATGTGAACATACTCCTCATTCAAGTTCAATACTCAATTAACTCGGGAGCAAAATGATAAAACGAAAATAACTTGGAATCCAAGGGAGATAACGATTTTTCCAATAACCGTTTTTCCTTGCTCTTGCTTTGCAAAAACGATCCCCATGAAAGTATTTCTACCTTCAGATTCGCAGATATCTAGCAAGAACTCACATTAAAAATAAGTTGACTCATATCGTTTTACCACCTTGCTATCTATTTCATCCAATAATTCATGTATTCATGGTTTTTGCAGGGAGCGTAGGTTCTAGAACTCGAAACGAGGACGAAGAGAGTTGCTGTTCAACCTGCAGTTCCTCCAGTAGTTCAGACGAGGCCGCCGCCTATTCACTGCCCCCACGACGAGCCTACGGTGGCGTGAGGATATCCTATGTACCCAACGACGCTGTTGCATGTGCCAGACGACGTGGACCCACCGCATCCACATCGCAATCGCAAAAAGACGCCGAGAAATGCGTCATATCCTGATCGTTCACATTTCTCCGATTCCCAGGATGAGGGCAAAAAGTGGAAAACGAATGAAGAAGCGAAGAAGCTTCCAAAAAAGAGAACATTGTTTTTTGTGTACCTCGAGCTGTACATAATGCATCTGAGTTAAATTCGTACTAAAGTACAGTGTAATTAATATTATTAGAATAATTAATACTTCTTTTTGTAAATATCGAAAACATATCGCAGTCTGGAATGTAATAAAGACGAAGAAAAATTTAATATTTTTTTCATTGACTACTCTAATTGCTCCTGTTTCATGAGTATTTATCTGTCATTTATTCTTGCTATTATAACTGGGCAGGGTTTATGATCCACTTAATGCTGGTTTTGCTGGTAAAGTACACATGCTTGGAGGATTATGGGGCTCTAAAGCGAGATCATCGTTTAGTTTAACGATCGAAAGCAACTGTAATTTTCATAATCACCGAGACCTGTGTCACGATTTATTCGAATTGTTTCATGCGGCGTTTTCATCTCCAATTTCTTTTTGGTAGTAACTGAGAGATTGAAATCGGAATTTCTTGGTTTTCTCGGTTCCATAAATTCACGGCTGTTGGTAAGTTATCCCCGTGGGTTCAAGTCTAGGCTAAATAGGTTCTTGAATTATTGACTGTTGGGTATTGTTTATTGTAGTTGCTTGGGATTAACAGTTGATATTTATTATGTGGATATTATGAATGTATATTATTAAAAGGGGATAATTGTTTGCAGTAGGAAATGAACGAATGGGGTTTTGCTCTGGTGGATACTAATGGTTGGATTTTTTCCCATCAATTTATTGGCAATTGCCGCGTAATAATCGATTCGTCAAATGATTCCAGCTTATCGGAATCGGAAAAAAATATCCTCAAATGCGGTATATAACCGCACGGATAACAAATATATGAGACATATATATCAATTACACGCACATATGTGTGCGGCAAAAAATGCAATATGTGAGATATGCAAGATCTATGCGTCACATATAAGCGCATGTATATATTCAACATATATTTTATATACAGCATTTTTTGCCAAAAATATATTTAAAATATATTGAACATATATCCCATAAATAATTGTTCACATATATATTTTTTCCCTGAGGGTAATATTCTGGAATCAGGAATATGTGTATTCATGAATGCCGGATATCATATTATGGATTTAGGAATAATATTCCCGAATTCGAAATATTTAATTCTCGATTCCAGAATGATATTCCGGGGTCCGGAATATTTAATCGTCGATTGCGGATTAATATTCCGGGGACATCGTCGCATTGAAATATTTTCCATTGCGTTCATAAGACATGACATGTACTGACCATGTGCGATGCGAATTTAAGTGAGATCGGGCAATAATCACAAGGAGCACTCAGCGAAAAATTTTCATACGTTTTTTACCGGTTCATACGGTTTTCAACCGTTTTTTTGGCCCCAGCCAAAGGGTCAAATTTTCCGGTTCGGGGAAAGTGGATTTTCGCCAAAATCGAATTTTTTAGCCGGGTGAACGTTGATTCCAACTATTTAAGCGACGGGCTATTCAGAACTATCAAAAGTATGTGGAAAAAGTGAAAAATGAAAAAAAAAATTTTTCACCGGAGGCCAAAGTGTCGGATCTTGGATTTTTCCGGGGGGAAAGTCGGTCCAAGGGTCACAACGGTCAAAGTGTCAGATCTTGGATTTTCCGCCAAAATCGAATTTTTTAGCAGGGTGAACGTTGATTCCAACTATTTAAGCGACGGGCTATTCAGAACTATCAAAAGTATGTGGAAAAAGTGAAAAATGAAAAAAAAAATTTTTCACCGGAGGCCAAAGTGTCGGATCTTGGATTTTTCCGGGGGGAAAGTCGGTCCAAGGGTCACAAGGGTCAAAGTGTCAGATCTTGGATTTTTCGCCAAAATCGAATTTTTTAGCCGGGTGAACGTTGATTCCAACTATTTAAGCGACGGGCTATTCAGAACTATCAAAAGTATGTGGAAAAAGTGAAAAATGAAAAAAAAAATTTTTCACCGGAGGCCAAAGTGTCGGATCTTGGATTTTTCCGGGGGGAAAGTCGGTCCAAGGGTCACAAGGGTCAAAGTGTCAGATCTTGGATTTTTCGCCAAAATCGAATTTTTTAGCCGGGTGAACGTTGATTCCAACTATTTAAGCGACGGGCTATTCAGAACTATCAAAAGTATGTGGAAAAAGTGAAAAATGAAAAAAAAAATTTTTCACCGGAGGCCAAAGTGTCGGATCTTGGATTTTTCCGGGGGGAAAGTCGGTCCAAGGGTCACAAGGGTCAAAGTGTCAGATCTTGGATTTTTCGCCAAAATCGAATTTTTTAGCCGGGTGAACGTTGATTCCAACTATTTAAGCGACGGGCTAGTCAGAACTATCAAAAGTATGTGGAAAAAGTGAAAACTGAGAAACCGTTTTTTTTGGCCCCAGCCAAAGGGTCAAATTTTTGGGTTTTCCGGGGCAAGCGGATTTTCGCCAAAATCGAATTTTTTAGCCGGGTGAACGTTGATTCCAACTATTTAAGCGACGGGCTATTCAGAACTATCAAAAGTATGTGGAAAAAGTGAAAAATGAAAAAAAAAATTTTTCACCGGAGGCCGAAGTGTCGGATCTTGGATTTTTCCGGGGGGAAAGTCGGTCCAAGGGTCACAAAGCCAAAGTGCCATATTTACACTGATAGAACTGATTAGTTATTGTTAACGAATGGATTTTGGTTGGAGGTTACGGTCTATTCGGTCCCACCAAATGTTCATTCGTTAATAGTTAACGAATGTATATTTGAAAAGCCTTGATTGACTTGACTTTCGCCATTCAAGTGAACCATTCGTTAACTATTAACGAATATTCATTTGGTCATATTTCCCACTTTTGTCCCTAAATCTAATGAATTTTTCATAAAATTTAGAGAATTTCCGATTGAAAGCATATTTCAACATATATGGTCTGCTCGTATGCCGCAGAACCGAAGAAGAAATGGTAACCAAAACATGAATATTTCCAAAAATTGATTCCTCACGATCTTTGCATAGTATAACGTTAATAACGAATAGAGAAATGAGTTGTGTGAATAAAAATAAGTATGTAATGAAAAAAAATTGTAATTACATTATCAAACCACGAAAAATTGATTTTCTAATTCTTTATCTTTTGTTTTTCGAATATGGCTGTCTGGGATTCATTGCATTTACCGCAATTTCAGGCCAGATATATCCAACAGTACATTCCAGGTGGATGCACATGTTGTGAGATACTCCACCATTGAGAGATTCTCCTCAAGAACAACCGAGATGTGCGGCCCGCCCCTAGGACGTCCCAAATCCCGCCCCGATGACTAATTTTCCACTTCTCAAATATTTTTTTCCTTCGTTTCCTCTTTTTTCTGTCTTATCCCTCGTCACTTTTCGACTCTTCGGGATCCACTTAACGCCTTCTCAATTAGTTCCGCGTGATCATTGGAACACAGCGGGGTGAGCTTTGACCCCACGACTTAATTACTGTCAAATTTTGAAGAAACATTGATTAACCAATAATACAATAAATTAATTGAACCGTTTCTTCCATCAAATAAATAACCGAAATTGCGGAAAAAATAATTTTCAAGTGGAAAACTACATTCTAAGTGCGAAGATGCCGCGAAAGAGGAGAGTGTCAGTGACGTCTCTGGATGATGATGATTATCCTGAAGAGAAATATAGTAAAGACGAAATCGAAGGAAAAGCTCCGCGAAATGCCGCAAATGCTCGAGAGCGTGCAAGGATGAGGGTCTTGAGCAAAGCCTTTTGTCGACTGAAAACTACTCTTCCCTGGGTTCCGGCTGATACCAAACTCAGTAAATTGGATACTTTACGTCTCGCTGCGACATACATCGCACATCTTCGCGCTGTTTTAAGGGATGATAACGACTCACTTCCGGATTCCACTAGGTCTCTGTCTTTGGCTTTGGTGAGTGTTTGCATTTGAACGCGTTGTATTCAACTACTCAATTTTTCGATCTTCCCGAAGACTTTAATTTAGTTAGCGAATTTTAACGGCACAACGCAAATAATATTCAATGAAATAGAGCAATCAATATAAATGAGTTAGTTTCCAAATATTTTTAGAATGAGAAAATTTATTATAACATAGTTTTTGCAAGAAATTTTCTTTTCCCGAAATATTTTAGGAATGATTAGGACTGATGATTGAATATTGAAACAAGCTGTGGTTCGAGCCTATCCGATAGAAGGCATGTGACCGTTACTTTTTGCGTTATTAGTCTTTTCCTGTTCTTATTTCTATCAATTCCATTGGTAGTAAGCTTCCGAATGAGTCCGTAGCAATTCCCTATCCTTGTGACAGACATACAACCGTAACCACATGAAACAGAGCACTTACACGGAGAGAAATGTTCAGTAAAAATTACGGAACTCCCAATTCACTCACTGATTACGGAATTGACTAAGAAAATTTAAGTGATGGTATCGTAATTTTTCACAGGAGATTCAGATAAAAATTACGGAACTCCCAATTCACTCACTGATTACGGAATTGACTAAGAAAATTTAAGTGATGGTATCGTAATTTTTCACAGGAGATTCAGATAAAAATTACGGAACGCTCCGGAAAAGTTTCGTGACAGTTCCGTAAAATTTCCTACAACTACACTTCGCTCCGGAAGTACGGAAAAAGATACGTAATTTTTATTGAATATTTTTCTCCGTGTACCGGAGGATATTCAACCTTTTAAGGAAATCGATTTGCACAAAAATTGAAATAAAACAAAAAGTTGGAAAATTTGAGCCGGGGAAATTCTACAGAAAATATCTCAATAGAATATATTGCATTCAAACATCAAATTCTATTGACTTTTCCAATGGAATATTTTCCACTGAATTTCAATACAATCGGCCAAAAACTAGTAGAAAGTTCAATACAAATCCAATAGAATTGTCTGGTGAATTCACTAAGTTTTTCTATTATATTTATTCATACGTGCTTTCATGCAAAAATTGAGTTCACGTTAATTCTGAAATCGTTCTGAATATTCGAAATAAAACCAGGTGGATTAGATCATCCCCATCATTCTGACATCCTCAGTGTTTACGTCTGACCAGGTGGGGCCTATCACGGCATCCCCACTCTGTCGTTTCCGTTTCCATTAAAATCTTCGAAATAACAAGACAGTAAAGAGGAGAAGGAGAACCGAAACGCAAATAACTCCCATTGTTTTCTTATCTTCTGTTCTTCTCAATCATCTCAATCTATTATTTTCAATTTTTTTCAAATTTTTATACATTTTCTAACGTTTTAATCTTAATGATTAATTTTTAATTATATATTTTTTCGATTCTCTTTTACAGACTTGGCCCTTTGCGATTCAATCACCTTCTCCAGTATTCATGAATAGCAGTTGCGCAGTTTCTTCGACATCACAAATGCCTAATCAGTATAACCGCACACAGGTACAGAATCCCCACGAAATTCAGAACTATCACTCTGGTCAAATTATTCCAAATCGTCATGATCAAATGTATTATTAATTTTCCCAACACTAAAAGTAAGAATTTCTGATGTTTAGCATCAGGAAGGTGTCTTTGATAATCGTACCCTGCCTTCTTTATTTATTAATTAATTTGAAAGAATGAGAATTGAGTAATCAACAGAGCTGGGGAATATCTTATTTGAATTACTAATTTAAATTTTCATGAATATTTGTTATTGTTCTGCCATCAAACGCGAGTTCTAACCCCGTGGTTGTTTAGCCAGCATCAAAGACTAGCCACAATGGCCCGCAGTGCGGTAGGAAAAAGTAAAAAGAGTATGCGTAAAACACTATTGTTCCACTTTGCCCCACCTTATCCTCGTTTGGCCAAGTGGGAAATTGCTTTCGTCAAAACATAGTCAATATATTTTTTGCTCATAAATTAGCAATTTGCTTCCCAATGGAATTTCTATGCCAATGTATTTTTAATTGAATTCCATGATTCATTGAATTTAACATTGTCTCAACTGACAGCCAACATTGCCTCAACGTTAAAATTTTTTACCTCTCCATGAATATTGGTTTAAAAATAAATCTTTTTCAACAATAGACGATGTAATCAATCTCATGATCCAAGTCGGTCAAGATGACATTGGGGAGGATATTTTAAATCACAGGTGGATTCATTTGAACAATTAATTTTTTTGTCACATATACACACACACACACATACGAAAAAATTCAATAGAAAATCGTAGCGAATGCGCTAGACAATTCTATTGGATTTCTCTATTGAACATTCTATTAGTTTTCGATCGCTTCTATTGAAATGTTCAAAAGGAAATATTCTAGAGAAAAAATCAACAGAATTCCATTTTTCTATGCAACTTACTCTATTGAGATATATTCTACCGAATTTACTCGGCTCAAATTCGCCAAGTTTTTTTCATTCTATTTTTCTTTTTTTCATCATCAAAATCAAACAAAAAAACTTGGAAAATTTTAGCCGAGGAAATTCTATAAAAAGTATCACAATAGAATAAGTCTTATAGAAAAATCGAATCCTATTGATTTTTTCTACAGAATATTTTCCATTGAATATTTCAATAGAATCGGCCTAAAACTAATAGAAAGATCAATAGAAATTCAGTAGAATTTCTTAGCGAATTCGCTTGGGTTTTTTATTGAATTTTTTCGTGCGTATACATCCAGACATGGTCTAAAAGTAGCATATTCGAACTCGTGAGGCCAAAATTAGTTGTCCTGGCACAAAAAATTGGAAATTTCGAATTTGACGAATACAATACTTCCATTCGAAAGCAAAAATACCATTTTAAATGAATAATTAATGAAAATGCCCTGCAATATTTTTATTTCATTATTAAAAATGTCTTTTCTTCCATTCGACGGAAAATTTGAGCAGAGCAAGTAAATAATCAATTCAATTATTGAAGTGAATATTATAGCAACATTTAGGACAAAGAAAAATATAGAATATTCAAGTTTCAAGAAAAATCAAATAATGAATCGCAGTCATTAGCTGACAATAGTAAGTTTTTGAAATAATCATATCATTCAGTATTGTATCATGAGAAACTATTTAAAAATGCATTTCTATTTAATAGTCATATTGTAGGCCCTAGCTCTGGAAACCAAATGGTTAACGTCTATAGTCAAGCACTAAATTATTTTTAATTACGCATGAATCTCAAAGAAAGAGTGGTTTTTGAACAAAATATCGTCAGACAATTTGTTTTTTTTTGTTTTTAATTGAAAACATTTTTTTATAGAAAAGGTTTTTTTTAATATTTTCGGAAACTCATGTGACATGTAAATTCAAGAGATTTGTTAGATATGAATTTATCTGGCGCATGAGTGGTCTTACAAAATGTCTACATTTTTTTTTAAGTATGTCTAGAAAAATATTTTGTAGTCCAGATACTTTTCAACAAAAAATGTCTTGACAATTTTTCCTGAAATTACTCATTACTGACATAATTCACCAACTACGGAGACTTCTTACTCAATTTTCTATGCTTTTTTATTACCAAAGAAAAACAGAAGAATCGTTTCTGAAATAATTTTATGAGATCATAAGATAGATTTATTTATTCAAATAAACATAAGATTACTAGTCGAAAATTTGTTTCTCTAAGCGTAAAATGAAAATTAAACTTAAGAATATCGACATCCGGAGATGAGACGGAAGTGCGGAAAGATCAACGGATCCCGGTTAAATAAACAGCCTTGAGAGCTTTGTTTAGGTTTCCTTAAGTTAAAACAATATATCCAATTCCCCGTGACATCCACAACATATTTTTGAGGTCTCGTGGGTCAACAGACCGCCTATCGTTTTACTCATGTTTTTCCCTATCTTCTAATCTCCCCTAATTATTGTAATTTTAATGTAAATTTTTGTAATTTCTATCGTTTTAAGTGATACCAAAAAGTATATGTATCAATGAAGGAAAAACTTGACTGGAGAATAAAGATAAATTAGTTTCTAAGGGAGGAAAATTTATTGAGTGCTTGAATCTTCCAGGAAATTTCTAAGCCGCATTGATCCGGTAATCTGATGCTCGACAAATCCTTCTTTCTTCTCTGTTCCTCTTCCCGTCGTCAAGAATTATGGAGTATTTCCATGAAGTATCGACTCCGTAATTTATTACAAGTGATCAACTCGTTGGAACTTTTTTATTTTTTCCAATAGAATTTTTCATTTTTCTGACTCACGGACTCTATACGTCCGTGAGTCGCTGCTTACAGCTGTGATGCACTGTTGGAAATTGTTTGAAATTTAAGTAACAAATGCATTTGAATTTTCAATATTTTGAACTTGAATTCAATTTCAGACTAAATTGCTCATGAAATTCTTGATTTATCTTCGAAATTTAATAAAATTAAGTTTCTCATTATAAATGATCATTGACTTTTCAATGATTTTTTTTCTCACTCGGATTTCAGCCAATCAGAGCGCAGTATTTGAGGCTGTCAAACAGTTTTATTTCGGAAATTTCTAAAAAATTTCTGACGGAAATTCACTAGTAGCTTTTCAAATGTTTCTCATCTTTCAACGCATTTCACGTTTAATATTCTGTGACAGATAAAAAAAAAAGTGGGTTGTAAATCTATGACTGTGTAAATGTATCCGGATGCTGTTCACAGCACTCTGCTTGGCCGAAATCCGAGTGGAAAAATAATCCGTCAAATACCACTCGTGCTTCTAAATTAATCGGATATTTTCCTCAAGCTTCCCTGCCTAGGAACGAGTGTGTCAAATTTTGCAAAAAAATCCCGCGTAATTCGCACTTGGGATTTTAAACCTGCAAAATTTGACACAATCGTTCCTAGGCAGGGAAATTTGAGGAAAATATCCGATAATTTTGAAGCACTGGTGGTATTACTACTGACAATTTCGATTTTCAAACCTATAGCGAAAATTAAGCAACAGATTGAAAACTCAAAACAAAGTTGCCTGAATTTTCATGATTTTCAGTAATTTTCATTGTCGTATGAACCCGAGAAATCAAATTTCATTGAATATTCAAGAACATTGACTGATTTATCAATAGCAAGATCAATGGAAATTCCATGTAAATTATTCGTTGTTAAAAATTTCAAGATTTTTTACTTGAAATTTCAAGCGTAATTTGCTAACAGTATGCCAAAAAAATATTGTTCGTCATACGGCCTAAAAAAATTTTTCTAGCTCATATGATTGCAGAAACTTGTAGCTCATATTCGCCAGAAAATTGTTTGTCTCCCTATGACGAAGTATACTATTTCCTCACAGGGCCGAAAAAACCTTTTCTGACGAGTGTGAGAGTTGCAGACCTAGGAATGCAATCACACGAGTCAGAAAAGCGGTTTTCGACCGAGTGACGGACATAATTTTTCTTCACAATACCGGTAAACGGCGTTTGACGGACAGTGTGATGAAAAGTTTTTTCCCTCGACTGGAGAAATATATTATTGAAAAAAGAAATAGTTCTCTCAAGTAAATGGATACTTGAAAAAATAATTTTTTTTTCCCAGTGCGCAAGGCGAAATAACTCTTCTCTTATTTTCCGTTAATGCAGTACTGAAATGAAAACAACAAAACGCTTTCATTACGCATGATCCACTGAATGTTCTAAAAAAATCACTCAAATGATTTACTTCATTGTGACCACAAGGTAATCTATCCAAAGCATATCTATCAGCTGTGCACCCATGGACCACAGAATCGGAATATGTCCCATCCTGAGCAATGACATTGAAGAGCACACGTGTCCTGCGGTTCGCAAGCACCACTGTAGCCCTTGGCTTGGCCCTGGTCATCGCGGGTAATCCGAGCCTCTGAGAGTGGAAGCAAAGTTTCCATCCCCTGCGGTTCCTCCGTGAATATCCCACAGGTTTTACTCTTCTCGGTAGATGCTGTTGCATTCGTCTTATCTTACATTCTGACCATTTCAGCGCACCCATAAATTCTCGGGTTGATGAACCAATTGTTTCAATTGGATCTCTGTTCGAGAGCAAGCAATTTTGTGAAAAGAACTGCGCCACAGAAAAGTATTGTTTGATTCTTACTGAACAGTAGAAATTTTTCAAAAATGCAAAGATATGAAAACAAAGGCAAGTCAGTAGTGTCAAATGAATGGCCATAGGTACAGACAAGAAGTTATCTACGTATGAAGAAAAAGTATAGAAATTTTCTATACGGATTGCGTATAGAATTTCTATAGGATTTTCGTATATGATATTCGGATATTCCTATACGGATATTTTTTATACAAATTCTTTCCATACGATTTCTATATATAGATATAGGTTTGATCCTATATGAACCACTATATGAGCCACTGCCACATATATAGAAACATTTCGTATGGAGCTGGGACATTTCTCGACGTTTTTCTCTGGAGCGTTTAGACATCTTTCGTATGAAAACAAAAATTTATGTATAGAAATAATTCGTATAGAAAATATTCGTATAGAAATATCCGAATATCATATACGGAAATCCTATAGAATTTCTATACGCAATCCGTATAGAAAATTTGTATACATTTTACATACGTGTAGGGTCGATTGCGCCAAGCCATGTAAGCCAAATAAATCGTCTGAATTAATTGTCTGGAGGAAACGTATTCCAAATTTGGGAAATTTTGAGAAATTTGTCGTAGAGTGCTTTCTTCAGGCA